ATCAGCTCAATTTATATTTCTCACAAAAAATCGACAATATACACTAGACGAAAGTAAGATTAAAAAAAGTGTTATACCAAATAACTCTTCCATTCTTCCATGAATGTTTAGTGAATGTTCATAGAATCAATAGTCAATTTGTCGAAAATGTCAACGTTTTATTGATCAGTTTTCAACAGCTAACAGTTAGTAAATAATGTCAGTATTTTGTAGAATTTTCTTATTGGTTTTATTGGTTTTTGAATTCGATCTTCTGGATGTCAATTTAAATTGTAATAGAAAAAAATTTAAAAAAATATATAATAACTGTTAAGTTAGTCAATGATTATATATATTTTTTCTTATATAACTAATATTTGACAAGGAAGAAATAAAATTTTCAAGGAGATCAATTCTACAAGTACAATATATATACATATACTGCTGTAAAAGAAGTGTAGTATTTTCCGTACTTATTATTACACTTATTAATAATAAGTTATATTATACTGCTGGGTGATGAGGTCAAAGTTTGTAGTTAGCTCAAAACACACCGTAATGTTATCTCACCTGAACCATTTTGATAACACCTACTCCATGAACTTAGTATTCAACACGAGATAAACAGTAAGGAATATCCATCATGATATTGTATGATTTATTCATATCATGAAGATAATTGAATGCTTGATTAAAATTAGCATTATTTACTAGGGTCACTGATACTCGTTGACCTGAAATCCAAATATTTATTAACAAATAATGTACTAATCTTTAAAAGTTTCTTATCACAACATTGTAAACTACTTGAACTTACTACAATCAGCTGATACAATTAGTCTGTTCTTTTCTCTTTTAATTCTGTTGAAATTAGACATTAGTGAAAATAAATCGATTATTTTATTAAATTTAGTGTTTAGTGAATAGAAACTATTGGTATTGGACATTTATAATAAAAAGTTCCTGAATATAAAATGATCATTTACTCATTTGTTTATGAATTGTTGTTCACTAATTACAGAAAATAACCCAAAATGTCATTTAGACTGTGATTAGCTGTATAGAACGTACAACGTTATGTCCTCAGAGATCATAGTATAAAACAAGTTAGATGTTAATACATGAAACGATTGGATACCATAAATTAACTTCAAAATGATGCAATATCCGTTTAATGTTTAGTGACTGAAAAATGTACAGTGAAAATACATGAAAATATCCATTACCATGTATTGAGTTGAATGATGTGACAAGAAATTGTGTGATCACTAAAATTCATTCTTGTTATAGATTAGGAGTAAACTACTGTAAATGTTAAGGTGTTCGAATCGTCTTTTTGTCAATATTCAAAATTAAATTCAGTCAAGTTTTCACTAAGATATTTGAACATTGAGCACATGTTCTGAACACAGATTTCCTTACAGGTTTTCAGTAAAATTTAGTTAATGACAAGCAATCAAATGCATGACTTGGAGTTGGTTCTCTCTGGGAATCGTCAGCCTTGAGTACATGCATTATTGTGCTAATATTCACTCGAGAATTTAAGTCCAGCATCTATCTCTAAAAATGTCAGTGAGCTATCTACCCGGTCAGTTAAACTAAGTCACCATTTATTTAATAGAAATAATGTTTAGCCATTGATGTTAGTAGATAGTAGTTGATTTATACAGAAAACTAACAAAAGCTAAGAGTGTAAACTATTGGATTAAGAATTTAAAAATCTCATAATTGTAAAAAGAATTTGTAAAGAACAAGAAATCAAAACACCTTTTTTTCTGATATTCTGAACATAATGAAGAAATTTTCATTTTTTGACATTTTTCTCCGTACTCAATTGTAAACTGTGCTTGCTACCAAAAAGTTAATTGCATTTATCATTGAGACTTTTTGTAAAAACTAATGACTAGAAGTTGAATGGATTGAAATTATAACATTGCTGAGTTGGCATTCATTTAATTTCCTATACTATGTACTCAACTCTTAAAAGCCAAATAAGTTACTGACTGTTTACTATAATGAATTTTTGATTCCAAAAATTTAAGTTTGTAACAATTTCTTTTTGTGATATACAAGATTTAAGTAATGTTTTGTGAACCGCATAGTTTCAGTTTTATTCAGCTTTCATTATGATTTCAACTACTTGTTTTTTCGTGAATAAAACTCAGTTTTTGTTAAATAGATTTTTGTTTAGAGTATTTATTTTGTTATTAAATTAAATGTTTTGGATAAACTGGATAGCTTCTTGGAAGGTTTATGGAGAAATGTAACCTGCAGTCGGTAATATTTAGGGAATATTGTTAATTAACTAAATTTCGAAACGGTAACAAACAGATACTAGCTGAAGGCGACCGGACAACAAAGGCTCTTGACTGCATTTAGTTTGACTCCTGGAAATCTTTTGAATGTGTCGTGAGTTGGCAAAGTTAATCCATAAACGAAATAAATCGATATACGGTCAAACGTTTATTTTAATAAAGATAAATAATTAAGATTATGCCACACTGAGTACTTCAGTAACATTCACACTCCAGTAACATCATATCATGACCTTGAATGAAAGAAATAATCACGAAAAAGGTCAAAGTGATTACTTGGTTATTAAATTTCCGATTCTATTGATAAAAAGTAAATTTTCAACAATACTGCTGGCTTCATATCAGCTTCTTCGTTGTCCTTGATTCTTCTCAAACCACGAAATGGGTTTCTTGTATTATTCAGGATTCTATGAAAAGCTGTCAGTAATATTTACTCATCTCCAGTCTTACGAGTAAACTCATTGGTTATGCACTAAAAGAAAGCTGACCTAGAAATATAAATTGTTTTATTGTATTGGTAAATTGAGCAGATTAATAATACGTGGAATCATCACTAACAATAACTCCAATCTCATTTGTAAAACATTTTGCTGACTGATATATATGTTATTTAGTTAATTAACGTAAATTTTTTCAAATGCGTGTAGACGTGTTATTTAAATAGTCACTTTTAAGTCGGATTCTAAAGCCATCTAACAACAAACAGTCTACGTAAATTATAATTTTAGTAAAAACAAAAAAAAGAACATTTAACATAAAAGATATGGCTAGTAAATCAATGATTTATCAATTAATAAGAATTCTATTGAAAATGTTAAACCACAAATGAATTGATATGAAACAACACATACATGAACTATGCCTAATGACAGAAAATAGTATAATCTGTAAATGGTTTCAGTTAGTTAGATATATATATAAATAGTACATTGTCTATTCCACGTAATCATGTATGATGTAAATTGTAAACATTTTTACTGCATACAAGACAAAATAAACAAACAAACTGTAATTATGTTAAATACACTTGATTTGTTCATTGTTCAGTTTCTTTTTTTTTTTTTAAGAAAAAAAATAATAAAACATAAATGGTAACAATTAAAAAGCAAATAAACAATTTTTGGTAATAATTAAACAAAAACCAATGCAAATGGGTCGATTGAATAGCGTTTTATTTTTATCACTCAGCAAATACACTTGACTAAGTATCATGTCAATAAAGAGTAAACATAACAACCTACGCCTACTCATATACATGCATATATATATACATATATATATGCATAAAAACAAAACTATTTATATTAAACTAGTGTGGTTCATGTGATACGTATTATTTTGTTGTACAATAAATCTTTGTCGCTTCATCAATATTGTACAATTATGTATACACAGTAAAAATGCAGTTTGTATGAATTTTTTTTCTCTCAAGTAATAATTGATGGTTAATTTTCTTTTTTTTTTTACGAAATCAACAAATCATCTGTCTTATCTTTTTTTTTACAAAACACTGTTATTTACATTGCATGAATACCTACGTTTTGTTTTAAAGAAAAAGAAGTAATTGTTAATGACTAAAGCTGAAGTTAATTGAAGCGAATATTGTTTTAAAATGATTTGAAGAGTATTTTCTTTTTAATGGTATAAACTATGTGAGGAAATTCATAATTCATTTTCACACTATTATTAAGCATTGAATAAAAAGAATTGAATATGTTGACAAAGAATTCAAAGAAACAGCAGTAGATGGAATTTAGTGAAATGATCTGTGGTGTTGTTGTTGTTGTTCTTACTGGTGAACTAGTGTGGTTGATCAGTAAAAAAAGAAAGCAGCTAGATAGAAAGTATAGAGAATTCGATATTCATAACCGTAAATGGTTGTTTCATACTTGCTGGCTTATTCTGATTTGAGAAATTATATTTTGTGAATAGAGCGATGGTAATTAGTATCTAATCTGCTGATCAATCAGTCAATCAGTCAGTCAGTCTATTTCACCCGTTTTACCTATTCATTAGTTCAGTAATAAAAAGCCAAAATCTTTACACTGGATGTAGTAGGATAATAAAATTAGTGAGTTGAAATTAAATAACTTAGAACAATGAGAGTAGTATTAATAAAAGCAATAAGAAAGAATGACACAGTACAATATAACTAATAAAAACTGAATGAAACATTGGAAATAGAATATTCAATTAATTTAATATCAGTATGACTATTTTGTAACCATATCACAGTCATATGACTGTGTAGCAAGCTAATTCATTCTATCAGCTACAAAGTAGAACTTCGTACGTACTTACTTACATCACTTCAAGTTGCCATACCACGTTCACACACAGAGATCGACTTGTTGATTTAAATCCCATAGTAGTAGAGGTAGTAGAAGTATCAGTGGTAATCGAAAAGGCTAGGGATCAGTGATATCATTTGAGAGGTATGTCCTAGTGGGATCAATCTAAAAAAAGAAAAAAACGATCATAAGGTATTCAGAAGATTAAAATTTCAGAGAACACAAAAAATGAATGAATCTTCACCACTGCAACCGATTTTGAGCCATGTCATTCAAGATATCTGAACATCGGTTATGATCACCTCCTTGACCCCAACCAGCTAGTCTACATCTACCAACATGGCTCAGTTCATTTGTCAGTGACTTCATGGATTTGTGTAATGTTTTGGTTTTGCCATATCTGTTTTTCTTCCAGCCTATCGCTACATCAGGCACTGTCGCTTGACGAGGTAGTCGTTGGAAGGGAATTCGTGATACATGTCCCGATTATCTTTAGACAATTGAACTGCTATTCATTCAGTGTAGCGTAGCTGTCTATGAATTATACCGTTGCGTAGTACACTGACAAATATTTAAAATTCATCTTATTACATGTTTGCTATCATTAATCAATATCTATTAATCTAATTAACTTTTTTGATTGATTTGCTGAACAAACATTTACTTACACCTTTATCTTAGGCTTTTTTAAGTGTGAAAAAATATGAAAAAATGTGTTATTTTTGTGATGCTGCATTTTTGTTGTCTCTCAATCAAATCACTTACTAATTTGAATAAGTTTTGTTAAAATTTGAAAAAAAACAAACTTCTAATGTATATTTACCAATAAAATAATTATATTCACACATTTGGAGTAACTTTTAAATTAAAATCGTGAAGATTTGTGACTGAAGTGAATGATCAAGGTGCATGTTTTGTGCTACAAACTGGATTATTTAATAGTGAGATCTTCGTTATTCATTCTAAACAGTAGCATCAGTATAAAAGTCACAGAGAAATGAGACATCTAAATTTCTGCACCTGCGAGTGACAGTTTATCCTATAAACCTTGGTCATAATTAGTTACTGCTAACTTTAGAGCTCAATTAGAATCGATTCATTAATTATGATGTAGAAGTTATCGATTAAGTATTCAAAAGAATTGAGATTATTCGACGGTGTAATTGATGAATAATGTTGTTTCTCAATAATATATGACACTTTTATATATGAAAAAACAATTAACAAACTTTAATGCATCTTAAAATCCATGACAACAATTGTTGATAAGTAATTGTACATGATACACTGGTTGGTTGACTGTTTGCTTTCTTTGACATATTGTTTTGAGCTATTCTGAAGGAGCAGGAAAACAGATAGATAGTTTACAATCAGTTATAAATTTACTGAACATTATGAAGTTCTTGACAACTGTTTTATCATAATTTGAGAATTCTGAATGGCATATTCCAATGTATCCTTCAGATACTAAATGAACAATATTCAAGTTTATTCGCGAGTCCATTACCCTAACTACTGTGTTTTAATTGGCAGGTTCTCTACCAACATTATTACTATCAAAAGATTACCACTAGCTACTTTGAATCGCCCATTATTAAACCACTGTAATAATACAACTTTTATAATCATATCAGGTGAATAGCTAACTTATGCCATCTGGGTTTTTCAACACTCAATTTTCCCTCTAATCAATCTCCGACTAAGTTCAATACTGTTAACAAATTAAATGTGCGCATAAATCCTTTATTAGCCACTTCTAAACTAATGAAATATATAACTCATTTAAGTTCAATATATATTATTTAATAAATTTAATGTTCTGGTTAACAATTATTTGAAGGCAAATATTAATTCATTTCATTTAGGTAAAAATATAATAAGGTCGTTTATGTCTAACAATAACTGATTGTTTTCAAATAATTTTATTGTTCATCTCATTAATTGCCTAGTAGTTTACACTGAACTCAGTGAGTACTTTCAAAGCCTTTTTTAAATCCATACAAAACGATTACGTATTACTACAAGTGCAAAGAATCATTTACCTTACATATAGAAAAAAATATTTAATAATTACACTAATCTTTGAGTTAGTAAACACTGAAACATGAAAGTACATCTGTTAATCAAATGAACTGAAAAAATATCAACGGACAACAAATCAATAATTCTTTGTATTACTGCATCATTTCAATCAAACTGACTTTATATATTAAACAATCACTGATATTTAATTAAAGAATATAATGTTTTTGCGATAAAATTAAATTAGATCGCAGAATAAGCTGATCTATGCAACGCGTAACATTTGTACACATCAATTCACGTTTTAGAAAATTAAACCATGATACAGCTATGGAAACTTTGTTGTTCTTGATTAATTATCTGTCCTTTTACACCTAATAGGACTAAGTACATTTATAATTAAACTTATTTGAAAAATAGGATTTTGAAAATAGGATACTGTATAACTCAAAGAAATTTTTGTCTATTCTCAATTGTAATTCTTCAATTGTAAACTGAACATTACGAAATGATTTTACCCATATAATCAATGAAAGTCAGGGACCATCGGAACATTGCTTCAACCTCGTATGCGACCTCTCAGAAGTGAGAGTATATATGACCCGAGGATCAATGACTTTAAAAATCCCTCATTCTGACATCTGACTTTTTATACCACTGAGAGGATATCAAACGGTTTGTAGGTCTAACTTTAATCATTTCGTAAAATCGCACAAAAATTTCTGAAATACGTGGGGGTGAACTGTCTAACACTCAACATAACTGAACTCAATCAATAATGGATTTCCAATAGAAATCCGATAATACCTTTTGTATGTTAATCTCTAACAAGTATTCGATTAGTTACTGTAGATATTTTTCTGTTAAATGCGGAACTAGATGTTGTACAACTTATCCACTTATCCTTAAGATATTCTGTATCAGTTGTCTAAAGATTCAGTAAACTTCTAAATAATTAGATGATATATTCCACTTTCAATGTTCAGAAGTTAAATACATGAAATATTTATAACACTCGAACAATCAAATACCATAAACAATACAGATACACTTATACGTCAATACTTTAATGAAAAACCATAAAAATCATTTACTTTAAGGAACATTCGATACAAATTAAAATAAATGTGATTAACAAATCAATCTATCGATATTTTCGAATGGATTTACATGCATGAGATACACTTTATCACTTTTTGCCAATCATCATTTCACCTGTGTTAGTGTTTTAAAACACTTGTCTTCAGTTTTTATTCCTTAATTAAAAAATCTACTCAAAAGTCATACACTATTGATGTAAACTTATTTATTATTGATGGATTTATTAAGAATTTCGTCATTACACTAGATGGTTGTCTATCAATCAACTAAAGGCCTTGATACAAAAAAAAAATGAGAATGATCAAAAATAAAACAACTGCTGCCATTTACATCCAACCAACATTTTTCATAGTTTATAAATCTACCAACACTAATAATTAGTTGTAGTTGTATGTTTTCAATGAATCATAACAAAAATGTGAATCAGTTGAAACAAATGTAATAATAATAATAATAATGTTTCACAAATTGTGTACTGTTATATTACAGCCGGTTTGCTAACACACTATAATGAAAATGTCCAACCCGAATGGCTATTAAATGTTATTTAAACATTCTCGCTTAGTTATATAATATAAAATCATTTGCTTGATTAAAATACAATTCGAAGTCTAAATATGACATAACAAATCGATTGATTTCATTTTGAAATAACGCATAAAATAATGTTAATTTTCTAGATCCAAGACATTAATATTACTAATTACTATAAGTGTTGTATGGAGATTTGGAAAAAAAAACAGTTAAATAAATTTGATTGGACAATGAAATATGTTAAAACAAAAAAAAATAATGTTTATTGTTTAGAAAAATTACGTACACTTGTGTTTGTTCGTTTTTTTCTGATTATTCTTTTTTATTGCTTCGTTAGTTTCACTTGTAATTGATAAAACATTTTGTTCAAGTTGAGTATTGCTTTTTTTTTCTACTACTATTGTTCATAATTAAATTAACCTTTTATTGTGTTGATCTAATCATGTAAACTATGACCACATCCTAGATTACGGAACATGCTTATATTAAGTGTGAATTAATTATGTTTAATTGACCGATTGACTTAATTAATTTATTAAATCTGTTCGAACGATGAAATGATCAGACTACCTAATTCCATATTCGTATATTGAATAACATAAGTGATATTTAAAGCTTTAAAAGTGATTATTATTCAATAAGTCAAACAGCATGATAAATGCTTGCAACTGTGTTCATACAACTACTTACATCCATTCTGTATCTGTTATACTGATCAAAAGAGTAAAATTTTACATTATCTTCTTGACTTTATCAAATCTATTTCTTTGTTGGTGTATGTCATGAACATTGTAAGTTTTTTTTTTCTGTTTGTACTAGCATTGTTCATTTTGTTATCTTAAACTGGTTAGTCTCTAAATAGAAATGTACTTAGGTAATGAATTCCACAGGACGAATATGGTTGAAAGATTTTGTGAAATTGGCTGTGACTAGCATAGTAAGTAATGTCATTTGGTTTAGCCATACATGATGAAAATGATATGAAAATTTGCTAACGAAAAAACTTGAAATCTTGAGGGAACTGGTGTTCTGTGTAGTTTACAAACGTATTTCACCCAGCCTTATAGAGTCTGAGACGCCAGCACTGAAAAAATCGATCCTCAAACGAACTTCTTTACAAATGAGATACTTACAACTGAATGGTCACTAGGCAATGACCAATGTTATGTCATCTCTAATGTTATTCGATTTCCACAGATCACTTGCTGGTGTATGCATTTTCTAGTCACGTTAGATAACGATCATTTTGCAACTTGATCGATTGATTTTGATTAACACTAAAGGCTAGATTAACATGAGATTGTTTATCTGTATTAAAGTAATTCAAAGCCATTCGGTACCAGGTTTAAACTTCTGACTACCTTCTTCAGTCTGGGCAGTTAGGAAGCACCACATACTCTCTGAAATAAAAACAAGTATGCTCCTAATTTAAATGCTTAAACTTATCGCTTAGTTTTGCTATCAACCGACTGTAAAAAGTTTTTTGGAAAATAATACTTATTATTTGAATCAACTTATTCATTCTTTTTTAATTTTCAATATCTCAATGCTATCAAAATTATTAAAAAAATAACCAACATAATCTTGAAATTAATAATCAAATAATCTGAGTAGACTTTAATGAACAAAATTATTCCAGTGTTCATTTATTTAGAGAATTCTGTCTAATGTTTTTTAAAATTCAATGTTTAACTGCTGCACATAGAATCATAGATAATGAATATTATATAAATGCATGCATCTCTCTGTTTGTTTTGCTTGCTTATAAGCTCTACATGTGCATATACAATATACACAGACAGAACTATTGAAGAAATATTTGAGTATTTAGTAAATTAAATTTGACTATAAAATTCCCATTTATAATTAATTAAACATGATAGTCTATAATCAACCATAAATTATAGAAAATTTTCATCATTAAAAATAAACTTATTTATTCCATGTCATTTCATGTATTGATTTTTCTAGGAAAAAAATCTTTGAAAACGTTTACAAACAAAACATGTACAC